ATTCCTGGGATGAGTTCCAATATTTATATGTTGCTGGGTTCAGTTTTGTAGTATTTGCTGAGGAATTTCACATGTGTCGTAACTGGGGATTTCCCCCTGTAATTGGTTTGCTTCCTCTCTCCCTCTTCCCTTCTTTTCCTTTCCCATTCCCTCCCTCCTTCTCTGTTGCTTCCCTCCCTCCTTCCTTTCTGCTTTCTTTCTAGCTGGTTTTCGTATCAGAATTTCTGTGTCTTTTTACCCTGATTTCTCTTTCTCTTGCATCATAGCACAAGATGTACAAAGTTCATCTTGTAAATTTCTTGTCCCAAATCTAGTGTCAGCTGTTGTTCTAAGGAGCCTATTCATTTTAATGGTAACCCATAATCTGGGTGGTTCAGTGGTCAGTGCTGTTGGGCTGTCATTGTTTCTAGCTCCTGGGTGGTGAGTAAATAGGTGTGTGTGTTTTGCTCTTGATTCTAGAATATATACATATGGTGGGGCCTATTAAAACAATAGGCACCAAGAAGCATAATGTTGGATGAAATAAGAAAGTTAGAGTATTCTGTATATACAAAATTCATAAACTGATGAAAAATAATCTGATTTATTTTGGAATATATGTATCAGAGGTAAAAATAAAGAAATATAAGGGAAGAATTAACACAAATTACAAATGCTGATTATCTCCTGATTCAGTTGGATAACTGCACTTCCAAAGCTCCTGGGTGGTGAGTATATAGATGTATATTTTGCTCTCTGCCGGAATCCAGCTCCAGGAGAGAGTCAGGGCTTGAGACAGGAATCGGGAAGCAGCAAAAAAGAAAAGACGAACACGACAGGATCCTTCTTCCTGGGGAGAGTTCAAGACTCTGCCAGTTTTTATTCAACTCTTACAAGCTTATATAGTTTTTTACTGACCCCCCCCACCCACAAAATGTTACACATTAAATGTTTACATCATGTTTTTTCTTTTGTTTATGGGGAAGTTGACCTTTACAAGTTTCATTTTGTTCCTTCCTGCTACCAGTGGTGTAACAAAATACCAGCTGCCAATTTATCAG